TAGTTCTAGCGACGTTTTCATCACTACCTAAAGCCCCACGTCGCGAGAGCATTTCCAGTCGATGGTGTGTTATAATGCAGTTCTTCTTTACCCAACTATTGTGTTGCTCCTCTCGTCATGACCAACGTGATCATCTCAGAGAGAAAGCAGTAGGGTGGTTGTTGCGTGCTGTACCATCATCAGCATTGTTGACGGCTACTCCCGCCTTGAGTTGTTACATTCAAAGTGTTTTTTATGTTACTTCATACGCGAAGTTAACGATTTTCAGAGTTGGTTGGAAATGCTAACATGAAGCTTTAGTGTGATGATTTATTAGCTAGAGAATGATCTTTAGAAGAATGTAGGTGGATAGTTCCGTTAGAGTACGGCAGTATGAAAATTGAATAGAAGTTGAAAATGAGCGAAGGGCCATTAAAGCGACAGTTTTCAAGATGACGCACATTTTTGCCTAGCCCGTACGATGTACGCGGGGACTTGAAGTATGTCTCCAAGTCCACAGGCAAAAATGTGCGTCACTCTTGTTGCTCATAAACTGACTGCGGCTGTGGAATAGTTCTAGCGACGTTTTCATCACTACCTAAAGCCCCACGTCGCGAGAGCATTTCCAGTCGATGGTGTGTTATAATGCAGTTCTTCTTTACCCAACTATTGTGTTGCTCCTCTCGTCATGACCAACGTGATCATCTCAGAGAGAAAGCAGTAGGGTGGTTGTTGCGTGCTGTACCATCATCAGCATTGTTGACGGCTACTCCCGCCTTGAGTTGTTACATTCAAAGTGTTTTTTATGTTACTTCATACGCGAAGTTAACGATTTTCAGAGTTGGTTGGAAATGCTAACATGAAGCTTTAGTGTGATGATTTATTAGCTAGAGAATGATCTTTAGAAGAATGTAGGTGGATAGTTCCGTTAGAGTACGGCAGTATGAAAATTGAATAGAAGTTGAAAATGAGCGAAGGGCCATTAAAGCGACAGTTTTCAAGATGACGCACATTTTTGCCTAGCCCGTACGATGTACGCGGGGACTTGAAGTATGTCTCCAAGTCCACAGGCAAAAATGTGCGTCATCTTGAAAACTGTCGCTTTAATGGCCCTTCGCTCATTTTCAACTTCTATTCAATTTTCATACTGCCGTACTCTAACGGAACTATCCACCTACATTCTTCTAAAGATCATTCTCTAGCTAATAAATCATCACACTAAAGCTTCATGTTAGCATTTCCAACCAACTCTGATATTTGCATGGTTTTTTGGGGGTGTCCTTAAACTTATGATCGGTAGTGTAGCTCTTTTTGAAGCAGTAGATAGACTTGAGTTTAAGCTTGTTTTAGATTCGTAAAAAAAGGTAGATTTTAATTCTAGTAATAAACTGAATTTGTATTTGCGTTCTAAAATTGAAGTGAGAAATGCTCGCTCATTGGTGTTGATGCAAATGTTAAGATTTACCTACTCTTTGCAGATCTATAGTATGATCCTAATCTATCATTTATTTTAAAGAAAAACAAATTTCAAAAACTGAGTGAAAAGTTATTAACAAATGAGCAGTTGGTGTGTACAACTGTGCATGCCAAGCATGTCCCGGAGAACCCAAAGAAAAAATTAAAGCCAGTTCCACGTGCATTGTTAGGAAGGGTTTTGAGAGAAGTGCTAGAATTGTTTGAATACTTTTCAAGAAAATTTGAAATTTAAGCAGACATTTTAGGAGAGTGGCTACTCTATGTAGGCGAATGTCATGGGATTTTCTAGGGGTTCTGGTGACTTTTTCAAGGTTTTTCAAGTACCAATCGATGGTATCACGAGGATTCTGGAGAATATTGCAACCCAAGAATTCAAAGATAAATATGGATAGAAATTCAAACTAGCATTCGAGACAATTATTGAAAATATAAATTTTGAAGATTTGTAGGTTAAATTGCATCTTACAGAGGATTCCGAGAATGTTATGGAGGATTTTTTAAGAAAATACCAGAGAAAATGAAAAAGACTATTCTAGGGGAATACTGAAAGTTTTTCTGAGAAGACTCTGAGATAATTTTGTTGACATGAGGATAATTTCAAAATAATTCTGAGATGAATTATGTGCATATTCCACAGAACTTGTGTAGACAATTCCACGATAAAGCTAATACAATTTTTAAGAAGAATTTCATGAAATTTTTGGAAATATTTTGAAGCAAATCGTGTTTATCAATTTTGAAGAATATATTAATTTTATACCTCATCTGAATGAGCTAATTTTTCTGAGCATAATGATTTTCTGTTTCGATTCCATAGCCTTTCAAGATACAAAAAGCGTGAATTATTCGTAACTAACAAATTAATAGCTCGTCCCATTACTAATGTATTTTTAATGAGAGCTTTGATGATGATTTTAGCCAAGACTCATAAAACCTGTTTACATGACTTGTGATACAAAAAAACACTTGTTTAGTATAGTTCCTGTGCATCAAGATTGATGAAATATTTAATTATGAATCCATTTCTGATTTCTTATGAGTTTGAGAAGAATACGAAGTGAATGCTTTGGAGAATTTTTAGGAAATTTTTAGGAGAGTTAATTCCAACGACGTACACTGGGTTTTCTAGGGATTACTACAAGCAAATTTCAATGAAAATATAGAAACTTAGGCTAATTTTGGAGAGAATTATTGAAAATTTTAAAAGTATTGTTGAGTGAATTCCAGAAGTTTAATAAACATAATAACTGATGTATTTTTCAGAGAATGCCGGGATTTGTTTTGAACAAATTTCTAAGGAAATACTAGAGAGAATCCAAGACCATTATCCCAAAGGAGTCCTAAGAGTAGCTCAATTTGAAATGACTCCTAAGATAAAATCGCTGATTGCGACTCTAAGAAAGTAAAATGGACAGGTGTTGTGTGTCAAATATATACTTTGAATCTTGTATCTTACAAGTAAAACATGTGTTCATAACATCATCAATCATTCTAGTAATATTTTGAAAAAATTAAAAAATAATCATTTAGTCAAGCTTCTGCATTCATTTTCCATCATTGTTACACAGAGGACAGTGCTGTGCAAAACATGTCTCAACTTCTATACATGCGTTCATGTTAATCTACATCCGAAGTCCCTCCTTCTTTAAACATTCTGCACTCGAAATAGCTCACCCCTTACAGGATTTCCTGCCAAATTATATGAATGGGGCGGGGCAGAAAGTATCGTTTGCACAGAATTTATAAAAAAGAAGGGACTTCAAATGTTAATCTAAATGCATATATAGAGGTACCTGACATGTTTTGCAGTGTCAGGTACTCTATTTTGTAGTCTGTGAAAAGGAAATCACAAATCGAGTGTTTTAAAAATACATGGCATGTTGAGAGATTGAGCTCGTGAGAGCTAATTTTCTCTCACAAATTTGAATTTTGTTGGCTATCTGGGGACTGGTAGAACTGTATGGGGAAAAATCCTTTTTATTTAATTGTGGCTTGTTTAACAATAATATCCGGGGAAAACTGAACGACAAAGTCCCAAAGTTCTTTAGGTTGCCGTTCACTTTTTTTTTGACCTGAATAAGCACCGAAAGCTAATTATTCCCGCTTCTCTCAATTTCTATATGGGGATTTTTATCACTTCCTTCCAGCGGAACACCGCCATCTCTGTGGAAAATGGCCGGACGATATGATTAATTAAAATGTCATTCCATTGTTCCAAAAACCATGTTTTTATGCGAAATGAGCTTTTGTAACCTTGGTTCAAAGATAACTCGCACATTTCAAAATTTCCAAAATTCACCGTAGTTGACGCGTTTTCTGTGAAAATCAACAGCCTTTGCTTCCGATGTTCGCAAAACAAGCTATCAAACTACAGTACCAAACTAAAATGTCATGAAAGTCTCTGTGATACGGTATTGTCATCGAAGACCGTCACGTATTTATGTATTTTAGTTTTTCTCATAATAAGAGCTGCTAATGTTGTGCTTATGTGAATTCTGAAAATAGCAAGCAGTGATGTTCTAGTAATAACATTTCTGATCAGTCATGGTTTAGTTTGCAAAAAATTGAGGAATTAGATCGAAATAACATATTGTAATATGATAGTTATTATATAATATTCGTTTTGCTCAAATGTTGTTCCACCGTTTGTATTGTGTTGTATTTGTGTAGAAATTTTCTATGAGCAGGACATCGTCAGAAAGATTATTTATGATTATTTATTATCTATGATTCGCACTTAAACTGGTTAGAAAATTTTTCCATACCTAGGGCTTAACAGAAATATAGAATTTCAATCTTGAAGAAATATTCAAGATACTTCGAGAACTATTCGAAATATTGTAATGATAATTTTATCAACCGATTCTGAAGGATGGAATATGTATTTTTGTCGCATCATGCAATTGGATATCAATATTGGATTTGATAAATTATTGAGGAAAAAAAACGAAATTACACACTACAAACGCAATTCGTTACCCAGCTGTGCGACCCCTTGTCCGAAGTTTCTCCATCGCCGCATTACAAATCGTCCAAACCCGCGTCCCAAAATGGAGCACAACAGATGGGCTGCCCAAACAGGAACCCAAAACAGACACAAAGCCTGGCTGGATCAACCCAAAACATGCACCCGTTTCAGCCCTCTCTCCCTCCCTCGCTTCCATCCTGTACGACTCGCTCAACCAGAAAAGCCCAATCCATCCGCATGAACGCACTGACTCATCCGATTCCATCCATCAGCATCCATCCATCCATGCACGCTCGCGCTCCCTTTGGGGCTCTACCCAGCCAGGCACATGTGCCAGTAATCGTTTTGCCTCTGCTGCAATCGCTTCGCGCCCTCTGTTCATACATTTATGTATTTTTGTATCTATTTTCGTACGTGTTGGATTTCTTTCCTAGCTATTCGCATAACAGTCCCATGTCCTGTTGGATTCCTATTAACATGGGACGGTTATGCGAATAGCGGCAGTATACCTTATGATTAAATTGTCCGAAATGGATATTAATGTTTTGCATCCGATTTTCTCTCTTCCCATTCGCAGGAGTAACTCCAAGGCCTCATATCTACCGCGCCAACCACGGGACAAGCTCCACTCGGATCCGGACCATGGCAGCTACAAACTGACATTAACCTCCAACGAGGACAGCATCAATCACAACGACGTCTTCCCAGAGGAGATTATCACCTCGCCCAAGTGCAATCTGCCGGACGTACTGCCCCCCGGGGTCAAGTACTCGCTCTACTCAAACAATAACAATAATAACAATAGCAACAATAACAACAACAACAACAATAGCAGCAGCACCACCACCACCACCCTAGGGGGCATTGGAAAGCCAATCGTTGGAAAACCGCCGAAAACGATTCCCCACAGTGCGCCCATAATCTCGACCAATAGTCTGAAATCGATGTTCAATTTTACGCCCCAGCAGCCACAGCAAAATCAGGTCACACCTCCGAGTGCTTCCTCACCGGTGACCCCGCCGCCTGCGTACAAGCCATCATCATCCTCCCCGTCAGGAGGAAGCCCCACTAACCAAGCTATCAGCCCCAAATATACATCCCAGTCGACGTTCGATCTGAAAAAGACGCAAATTCTCGACTCCAAGTATCTGATCCAGCAGCATCAGCAGTACCCGGCCCAGATTGGACTACCACCAGCGCCAGCACCTCCGCCGCCGCCGCCGCCGTACAATGAATCGATCAATAATACCAATTATTTCAATCATCCGCACGGTGGCCCCAACACTACTGGCTGCAGCCAGCAAACTGTAAATAATTGTAACGAAATTTCAGAAAAATCCGATAGCTTCGAGTCGAGCATTAGCACTGGCACCACCAGTACAAGCACCGTTGAGCCAGTGGAAGCGAACCAAAACGGCACCAACACCAGCAAGATCGGCGCTGCTGCCACTTACGATGGTTTCGCGGCCCAAGAGGAAGAAGATTCGATCAGTAGCAACAACACCTCAATCTGTGCGGAAGCAAACCTATCGAATCCGATCGCCGCGTGCAACGTCGAAGAATCTCTCACCGTCGTCGCGCTCGAACGTGTCACCAAGGAGATCAACCTAGAACCCGTTGTTGAATCATCCGAACAACCACCGGCAGCGGCAACTAAAGTGGTTCAACGAACGGAAATCGTTCTTCGGGTAGCCGCCCCCACATCGGAAGCATCCTCGCAAACGGACAACGAACTAGCCGCGGCGGCCTGCAGTAGCGAATCGAACGCGCCTCTCCGATCGCCCACGACGACCAGCTCGTCGTCCATCGCCGTAGGTATCGCCGAACTGGTGATAGATCACACAGGAGCGGCAGGAGTGACCAAGCATTCGGTGGCCACTTCGACGACGTCCTCGCCACCCAGCACACCGACCAGTGCCAAAGCTCCGGGAGGCTTCTTCAGCAAAGCGTGCACGGCCGCACCCCGCAAGGTGCACCCGGAGGAAATCGACTGTGATAAGCTGTCGCACGATCTGATCAGTCAACTGTCGCCCTCGGATAAGCTGCACACCATACTGGGTGAGTACCAGCACCACCGGGTAGGACGTATGTATGTGGGTGGTTTATTATTTGAATTCGATTTTTGTGTTTTGTTGTGATCGTAGTGAGCACGTGTTGATTGATTGTTTTGAAAGGTAAACAAAATTGGTAAAGGGTCACTGTTTTCCAAACTAGTGTTTAGTGGACCCCACGCGATAGAAGTTCCGTTAGTATTTTTTTTAGATATTGCCCATTTCACACCGAACTGGACAAATAAGCACCGTTTTCACTTGTTGAAAAGTGTGATCAAAGTGCGAGTTTCTTCGGAGTCTTCCGTGCACTTATTCCTTATGATGCAAGCAATAAGCGCTCCGAAGACACCAAAACGATTAAAACGGAAACTTGCAATTTTTTCACACTTTTTGCATTTCTGGGGCAGTCTAGTTTCAGATGCAATTAACAACATTGGTCCTACAAGTGAATAAGCATTTGTAATTCAAGCGCCACACGGGTAATAGAATTGACAACCATAATGATATAAATATTGGCGACGAAAATATTGATGAAAAATCGCAAAATCAAAAAGTATTCATGTTTTAATTTTTCCACTCATTTTCTCCTTCTGTTTGACTACAGCAGCAGATGGGGTCTGTTCAAGATGGATTAGTACAGGTGCAAAAGGAAGAAGAAGTGTTTGTTTGTTTACTAAAAATGAATTAAGACTGTTGTATATGGCAAATTTTACTATAATCAAGCCATCTAGTGTTTATTCTCGAAATTCACATCAAAGATTGATCACTTGCGTAGAAAATCAATGTGGCACGGCATTTGTGACTAGCATACGCCTTCCGGTCGTATGAAGCAGGTCCAAATCTATTTAAATCCGCATGTAAAGTTATTTGTTTTGGCATCGTTTACTGCAAAATAGTGAACTTTTCATGAACATTAACGGCAAATTACTCACCAACACTAGCGGACTGTGAGTACTGTGCAACCTATACTAATCCATGTAGGGGCCTGTGTCTTCAATTGTTGTCAAGTTGGTTGTGATTTGACTCAAATACAACCATATTTTAGTGAGGAGCATCCCTTTGTTGATGTACCCATTGAGAATATTGTTGAAAATATTGAGATGAAAGTATTGATAGAAATATTGACGAAACTTCTGTCAAGTCATGCTTGGCATGCACAGTTGTATAGTACACACTAATTGTCATTGAAATTTGATTTTCTTTATAGTAATTGATAGATTAGGATCATAGTTTACTATAGATATGCAAGAGTAGGTAAATCTTAACATTTGCATCAACACCAATGATTTTTTACGCTTAAAGTCCGAGATGTGCAGCGAGCATTTCTCACTTAATTTTTACAACAAACACAAATACAGTTTATTACTAGAATTGAAATCTACTTTGTTTTACGTATCTATAACAAGCTTAAACTCTATTATATCTACTGCTTCAAAAATAACTATGTTTCGTCAACTGTATGCAAAGTTATTAGCAAATGAGCAGTTCGTGACCAAAACTGTGTATGCCAAGTATGGTCGTGTGGGTGCTTAAGAGTTGACATTTGGCTACTATGAAGAATATATGTTTATATAAATAGCAAGCTACCGAAGGTTTTTGATTTTTTATTAGATGACAAATGAAAGTTAACAAATTACCTATCTGAAGCAATCACTGCCGGGTACACGACGTTAGGCATACGGTCGTTAGGCATACGGACCTTAGGCATAATGTACGATAGGCATAAAGGACGTTAGGCATAATGGACGTTAGGCATAATCTACCCGATGAATTCCAGAAGGATGATAATGGGGACCGTCTATTGATTGCTGACACCGGTGGCAATAATGAAAGAGCCTTAATTTTTGGGGCTAATGAAAACTTGCGACGTCTTGGACAGGCAAAGTATTGGATTGCAGATGATACGTTTGCCACAGTTCCTTGTTTGTTTCAACAACTCGTCACTGTTCATGGAAGTATTGCTCCCTCACATCAGCAGACGGTTCCGTTAGTTTTCATTCTGATGACAACTAAAACAGAATCGTTGTATCGAAAAGTATGGGAGGAAATCCTGTTATCGAATGAAAAACCACAGAATTCACTATTCTTCATCTCTTATTCAACCGTAAGCTGTTTTTTTGTTATTGAATGAAAAAGCATAGAATTCACAATTCTTTATTTCATGAGTTGTTCTTTGAGGAAAACCTTTTCTTCTTTGACAATTGCAATATGTGTGTGAGAGTATATTACAACAAATGTGTGATTTTTTTTTATTTATAGATGCGATTGATTTCAAGATATAGTTCAAAACCATGCTGAGTTTTCACTGCCAGATAACTTAACCGCTATCGCTACTAATTTTGGATCTAATGAAGTAATGAAATTGGGTTGTTAGCGCAATGCTTGAAATAAAACAGCAACAAATGTTATCTTTCATTTAATTCCACTTAATACATTTTGGTACCCATCGTATTTCAACTACAATGTGCAGTCTTCATCAGTGTCATTCCCACTAAAGAACTTATCAAAACCTAACCCCCTTAATTACTCAACCCCTAGGGAAAAATTTCAAGATCACAGGTATGAAAATGAAACTACAACGTGTAGAATCGGAACCTACATAACTAAAAAAAAACATCTGGATCTAAGTACATATGTAGCTACGTCACTTCAACGCTTAGCCTAATTTAAGCATTGTTTACCATGCTCGCAACAGGTTTCTAGAGTTGCACAGCAGCAATGTATTTTATGCCTAACGTCCATTATGCCTTACGTATTTATGCCTGATGGGGTACACTCATCACTGCCAATTTGTATGGCAAATATACAAAGGATCCCGTACGGTTGCTAAGGGATCGATATGATACAAAATTAAGGGGATTATGTCTAAGGACATACCAGCGGTGTAGGACTACAATAATTACAATGAATTCTGAATTTACTGAAATTACTGAATCCGAATAATTTATAAACAGTCATTATCATATTTGAACTTAAAAGAAAGAAGAAGCTACTTAAAAACAGTTTCTACAAAAAGCTTCTAAAAGAATTTACTTAGTTGAAGATGCTAATTTCGAATAACTGACTGAAGTGGTAATTTTTATACGATAGATGAGGAGGAGATGAAAGTATAGAATTGATAGTTCCGTTTAGATCACGGTAGTGTGAAAATTGCATATAGAGAGTAGATAGCGAGCTAGGACAACTTTTAAGGAAGGTACAAATCGGTTTTATCATCTCTCTTTACCAAACTCCCCCTTTGGAGAGGGATGGTGAGGGGTATGTCCTCCCCGCCACCACTGGCAAAAAGAGATGATCGCCGACCGCTCAACGATGTGTTTGAAACAGTTCTATCGATTTTTACCGCACTCCAGTTGTTATTCGAAGGAAGGCATCCAGTCGTAGGTTTGGAAATTGCAGCTACCACGGTATGTACTCCTGTCATCGTCGACTTGACGATCTTGAGGGATCGATTTCCAAACCTACGGGGGACACCTCACCATCTCTCTCCAAAGGGGGAGTTTGGTAAAGAGAGATGATAAAACCGATTTGTACCTTCCTTAAAAGTTGTCCTAGCTCGCTATCTACTCTCTATATGCAATTTTCACACTGCCGTAATCTAAACGGAACTATCAATTCTATGCTTTAATCTCCTCCTCATCTATCGTATAAAAATTACCACTTCAGTCAGTTTTTCGAAATTAGCATCTTCAACTATGTTAATCGTAGACTTCACGCAGAAGTAATACTAAACATATAGTCAAAGTTCTAAAAGAAGTTTCAAGAAGATGCTTGTTGATAAATCTCCTCAGAAGAAGCTTGCAAAAGGAGCATCCAGAAGAAGCTTCTAAAATAAACTCTTAAAAGTAGCTCATTTTAGTTGTGAGCAAGAATTTTAAAGTTCTTATTGTGTATACGCGAAAAATCATGCATGAGTCTCCCTCCATTTACTCCCTCCCTACTATAAGAGAAAAACTTGTCACGGCCTACTAGATGCTCCATTGTATCAAAGATTTCATTAAGCACCTAAAAAATCGCAGTTCCTGACAATTGAAAAAAATGTCATACAATTTTTTTACATTAAGGGAAAGCTCACCGGCCCAAAAATAAAAAAAAATTTCGGTACGTTTATATTTTTCTAAAAATATTGGGAAAAATTATCAAAAATCCAAGAAAATCAAAAAATTTCTTCCTTCGATTTTTGTCAAAAATTACATGCAAAAATTTTTTTTCCATCCCATCATTTGGATTTGGAGATTTGGAATTTCGGGTTCTGCATACAAATGGTTTGAAAGCTATTTATCTGACAGAACACAAAGGACTGTTTTTAATGATTTTGTATCTTGTCCCGTTGACAATGACCTTGGAGTGCCTCAGGGAAGTGTATTAGGGCCCCTTTTATTTATTATGTATATTAATGACATGCGACGAGTTTTACGGTTTTGTGATATTAATCTTTTTGCTGACGATACTGTGTTATTCATTGCAGCTAAAGATTTAGAAGAAGCCGTTTCACGCTTGAATGAAGATTTGCGTTCTCTAAGTAGATGGTTGAAGTATAAACAATTGAAATTGAATATAAGTAAAACTAAATTCATGGTAATTTCGCGGAATCGTGTAGATGATGATGTCTCTGTTGTTATTGATGATGAGACACTTGATCGCGTTCAGGAAATTAAATATCTTGGCGTGATTATTGATGACAAACTCAAGTTCAATTCTCATATTGACAATGTCATCAAGAAAATTGCCAAGAAGTATGGAATCCTATGTCGCTTGAAAAACGATTTAACTATTGGTAGTAAAATACAGTTATACAAATCAATCATCTCCCCTCATCTAGACTTTTGCCCTTCCATTTTATTTTTGGCCAATGAAACACAAATATCGAGATTACAGCGTTTGCAGAATAAAGTAATGCGTTTGATTTTAAGATGTAATAGATTCACTTCCTCAACTTTTATGCTGGATGCTTTGCAATGGCTGTCAGTGAAGCAAAGAATTGTGTTTTTGACTATGCTGTTCATT